TAAATGATGACTAGGTTTCGACTCTACTCCCACTACAAAAAAAAGAAGAAGAAAGTAAGAAAAAACAAATGGTGGCCGGAGCTTCAGCAGTAGTCAGCTTAAACCATGGGGTGAAAACCACATATTAAGGATGATGGAGCAACAGAGCTTGGGTGTCTGATGATCATGGAGCTCCCATACCAGCTCTGGACTACTTACCTCCTGACTTCAAATACAGAAGAAATGAGCTCGTGTCATACTTAAGCCACTATTGTTTTGAGTTTTCTTTTCTTTGCAGCTGAACCTGATTTTAACTTACATTATTATTCTCTAATTGTTCGGTATGGTTACTTTTTCTTCTGCCCATCCCCTCCCCTTTTTACTGGGGGTCTCTGCTACTCTCCTCTCACAGTAGAGCGTACTGTAAGAACTTGCTGTCAAATCTCTGGCAGCAGGTAGTCTTAGCACATGCCCAGCAGCTCTGTTGTTTCACCTGAGAGGTGAAACACTTAGGCTTGGTCCATAAATCCAGATCGTTTCAAGAAGTATTTATTGAATATCTGGCCACGAGGCACTGGGTATGAAGATATGAAGATAATTAGTAAACCACCCCTGCCTTTGAGAAACTTGCATTATAGACAGTGGAGTAGATGCTTACAGCTGCTACCTCGACTTCCATTCCACCATCCTGTTTGAAGAAGTTGGAAAGCTGAAAATTACATTTCTCGGACTCTCTTGCCACTCGAGTTCGAGGTGCAGATAAGGCCTGCCAAATACACGTACTTATGAAAAACCAGGTGCCAGTGAAATGGAGGCTATCTTCCTGCTGCTGTGTCACTTGCAAGCAAGGTGTGATGACATGTATGTGGCATTCACACTCCTCATAGTGTTCATGGGTATCAGAGCCAGCAGTGGTGGCAGCGGCAGTAGCAGTGTTCTATGGTCAGCCTCCCAGCCCAGCTACGTTGCATTTTTGTCAAAATAAGCCACCATTATGCTGTAGTAACAAGCAGTCCCCAAAATCTCAGTGGCTTAATACAGTAAAAGTTTCTCATGGACAAAATATTTACTGCAGGTGTGGGCAGGTGCTCTCCATATATTGACTCAGATCTGGGCTGCGTCAATCTTGTGGCTACCACATCCTAACCCAAAGTCTCCTCCATGACTATTGTAGCAGGGAAGAGAGATTCCAGAAAACTGCTGAAAGGCTTTTTACTGTCTCATTCTGGAAGTGACACATTACTTCTTCTCACATTTTATTGGCTAAAACTAGTCACAAGGCCCACGTAACTGCAAGGGGATTGAGAAATGAGGCCCAGATATTACTGACCGCTGGTAACGTTTGCCACATGTGATGTGACTTTGAATTCAATAGTCTGCTGACTTCTACCCCTCCAGCCCTTCCAAGGACTTCAGAAGCCCCGAATTGCCTGGATGAAATCCCTTTGTTTTTGAAATATCTAGAGTGGTTTCAGCTTCCTGCAGTGAACCCTGACTGAATCTATGTGTGCTGGTATCTTTCTGTCCCCTCGCCTCTATCCAACTTCCACCCTTCAGTGCCCTCCTTTGTGCCCGACTCTGCCCTCTATGAACTGCACCTCCCAGGCTCCTTTGCCCTCTATCTTGGGTTGGTTTGGGATCATGGGAGGCACCAGCAGGAGATCAGAAAGTAGGAGGTGAGAGAAATCAGGATATTATCTGCTCTTCCTTTCAACCTCCCACCAGACTGTGGGTCCCTTACCCTGCCCCCAACTCTGTAAAGAGTCCTTTCATTAAACTTTCCTCATTTAAACACTTCTGAGTAGGACATCTGTTTCCTGCCTTGACCCTGACTCATACAAGATGTTTAATTATCAAACCACGAATGTAAAAAAAAGAGTAGCAGGCTGTCTCCCACCTTCCAGTTTTACTACAGCTGGAGATCTTTATAAAATGCAAATCTGAATATATCATTCCTCTGCTTTAAAACTTATGTGACTCTCTGTTATACCCCTGTCACCACACCCCACTCCAAGTTGCAGCCAGACAGAACCAATTTCAGTTCCCTCTGCAACATGGTCTTTCTTCCTCTGAGCCTCTCCACACACACTGCCTTCTTCCTGGAAATTGCTCCCCACCCCCACATTCATCTTTCAGGCCTCAGCTCAAATGTCACTTACCCAGAAAGCCTTCCATAACCTACTTAGCCTGGTTAGATGTCATATTCTCCCACGGCAGCCTCTATTCACCACCATACATAGCAGCACTCAGTGTTTCATTGCACCGCACCTGCCTGCTGCCTTATCTGTGGCCTCCAACAGACTGTATCTCAGACCTATAGGACCTATTAAGGTGCATGGCACGTAATAGGCATTCAATAAATATTGGATATTCCTGAATATTATTGAAAATGCTTGGCCGGGCATGGCGGCTAATGCCTGTAATCCTAGCACTCTGGGAGGCCAAGGCGGGAGGATCACTCAAGGTCAGGAGTTCAAGACCAGCCTGAGCAAGAGTGAGACCCTGTCTCTACTAAAAATAGAAAGAAATTAGCTGGACAACTAAAAATATATAGAAAAAATTAGCCAGGCATGGTGGTGCCTGCCTGTAATCCCAGCTACTCGGGAGGCTGAGGCAGAAGGATTTCTTGAGTCCAGGAGTTTGAGGTTGCTGTGAGCTAGCCTGATGCCATGGCACTCTAGCCTAGGCAACAGAGCAAGACTGTGTCTCAAAAAAAAAAAAAAAGAAAGAAAAGAAAATGCCTGAACCCTCCTCCTCAGGCTACCATCCTCTTTCTTTTTATTCACTGACAAAAATCAGAAAAAATAATTTTTAGTCACTCACCTCTCATTACTGCCTTCCATTCACTTCTAGACCATTTTAATCTTACTTCATCACTGTATTTTATGGAGACTTCTCTTGCCAAGATCACCAAAGACCTCCTAGATCTTCAATTCAGTAGCTTCTTTCCAGACCTGAATCTCTGGGATTGCTCTGCAGCACTTCCCAGAAACTCCGTCCTCGGCCCTCCATGGATCATGGACATCTTTCTCTCTTTTTCTAACACTTTAATTGATCTGTTTGCTTATCTATGTTTTCCTCCTTTCATTTATAAGCCCTATGTGTTTTACTCTTTTGTATCTCTAGTCCCCAGCATAGTGCCTGGCACACAGTAGGTCTTAATAACAATGAATGTTAAATGATTAAAATGCTCTCTCTTGGCTTCCAGGCTGTCTCTCTTTCCTAATCTTCTCTTCCTCTGACTGCTCCTTCTCAGCGGTCTTCACAATCTCTTTCTCCATCTACCCATTAAATACTCTTCGGAGTAACTCATTCTTATCTATCTTTTGGGTTTCAGCCATCAACAAATACCTCAGTTGCCAAATGCACATTTTCAATTCTTAATGCATAGTTCATGAGCTAAGGCTGCCCCTCTCTCCCTAACTGTACTGCAAGCAGTTTAGATACAGACTCATTATCTCTTCCATTCCCAGTCTGGCCTCTTCCTGCTTCCAATGTGCAATCAGTGGAATCAGCATCCATCCAGTTGTCCAAACTACAAACCACAAAGCCCCCTAACTCTTCCCACTGTCTTTGCCCCCTGTCCTGAAGGGCAGCAAGCTCCATCCACTACCAAATCCCCATCCCTAAACTTCTAAACCCTGCCTCTGGGTCTTTATTTCTCCTATTTCTTCCACCTGGAACACCTCCCCTCATTTCCTGGCAAATCCTCTCCATTCTTTGAAATTCAGAAAATTTGTTAACTTCAATTAATTGCTTCCTCCTCTAAGTTCTACTTAACTTGATGCTAGGTTTTGTTTTTTAATGACATCTAAACATGTCTCCCTCACTAGATTGTAAAATTCTTGAGGGCGGTTACTGTTTTTGGATCATTGGGTCTAGCCAGTGACTAACCTTTTAGGCAATTAAAAAATGTTTATGTGAATGAATGAATGAGTAAACTGGAAAAGATAATTTTTTTCTATTACACACTTTCAGAGATTACGGCGAGAGAACTTTTGAGTTAAAAGGACAAGTAACTCAGTGTAAAAACACGAACAATGTGTAACCAAGTCGACGACATGCATTGTAACAACATATACATGCTTATAGAAGGCAGGTAATTATTTTTCAACTAGGGAGATTTTTTTTTAAAGCCTACCCTGCAGAATTTGATTTTAAGCATTTCAGTTCTCGGTATGGACAGGCCGATTTTAAAAGGGAAGGTATTATCTTAACTCCTTCTGTACTCTCTATCTTTTGTGCCGGGCGACAGGAACTAGATATGGTATAAACAAGAGAGAGCGCTGGCAGCAGTACAGTGCGTGGGCACTCGGTAGGCCCTCGGCACATCCTTTTCCTTTCTCCCACCTCACCTTCGTCTTATATTTGAAGGCTCGTGAATTTAGAGTACTTAAAAGGAAATTTTAGTTTTAGAATTTAAATTTGACCAAAACAACGTCATGGAGATTCCGATTGCCCCTATTAACCCATGACTCTCAAACCCGAAGGACAGAAATCCCTAAGGGGTGAGGGGAAGAAAGGAGGCGGCGCACAAACTGAAAAGGAAGGCGGAGAGGAAGCTGTAGAAGGAAGCCTTTTTCGTTGGGGTTGTCTTTTTTTAACCCCGGAGAGACGTGACGTGCTAACTGCCGTCGCGGGTTAGTTTCCCCGGCGAAGCGCCCGCCCGCCGCGAATTTCCCCGCCGCCCCTCCCGCTTCCGCCCTGCGGTGCGCTGCTGGCCGCGGCCGCTGGGGGCGCCCGGAGCCCCGCGGCGGCGGCAGCGGCCGTTCTCCGAGCC